CTTTGACCGGGAAGACCATCACCCTTGAGGTGGAGAGCTCGGACACCATCGACAATGTAAAGGCCAAGATTCAGGACAAGGAGGGTATTCCCCCGGACCAGCAAAGGCTCATCTTTGCTGGCAAGCAGCTTGAGGATGGCCGCACCCTGGCAGATTACAACATTCAGAAGGAGTCTACCCTTCACCTTGTGCTGAGACTTAGGGGTGGCATGCAGATCTTTGTTAAGACGCTCACAGGGAAGACCATTACCTTGGAGGTGGAGAGTTCGGACACGATTGATAATGTCAAGGCAAAGATCCAGGACAAGGAGGGGATTCCACCGGATCAGCAGAGGCTGATCTTTGCTGGGAAGCAGCTGGAGGACGGGCGCACCCTGGCAGATTACAACATTCAGAAGGAATCCACCCTTCACCTGGTGCTCCGCCTCCGCGGGGGTCACTAACCCTTTTGGGCTGTATGTGTCCGTTGCTTTGCTGTCTTAGTTCTCTCTGTTGGTGTGCGTGGAAGTCCTATCGGAGGTCTGAAGGAATAAGCAATGGTATCGTTGGCATGTATTGTTGACATCTATGTTTGGTGAAATGTCTATGGTTGCCTTGTGAGTCTCTGGTGTTCTATAACTTGTGTCAGTGCCTTTATATTTTTATCTACTGCTGCTGCCCTTCTCTTGCTTGAATTGCTAATATACGATGCTGATGCTGATGCTGATGCTGATGTTGCTGCTGCTGTTTTATATATTTAATGTATCCAATTAATTATGTGTGTTCAGTGGTGTTCGATCAACACAGGTGAAAACTTTTCAAGGGATTTTTTTTGGTATTGAAATATTTTGTTTAGATCATGAGTACGAAGATATTCATTCTATGCTGTTCTAAAGCATAATGTAAAGTGTATAGGATGTGATTGTTAAAAAAGATTAGATTGGTTCTTTGGTTTTTTCATATTTTTAGAGATGATTGAGTTTGTCGTCAGTTAATTAAAACTTTATGGGAATCAATCTGTCTTTAATTATATGTATTTATAGTTTCTTATTCATCTAATATCTTAGAGACTACATTCCAGGTATAGTGTTGTCAGGTCTATATGATTTCTATTCGAACATCGTTCTTATCGGATTTTTTCGGAGAATGATTTGTTTGAGCAAAAACACATAGGATATTATTCTCATAACATTGAGAGTGGATGATCTTCTATTAACAATCAATAGTCCTCATAAAGTTGACTATTACTATTGACGGCTGGTTGTGTTAGATCTGAAACTTTCATACTTATAAGTTGAGCATCAAATAGTGGAGTATTCATATATGACATCTTTGGTATCTCAAGTCTAATGACCGGATCCACCAATAGGATGACGGAATCACTGTCTGACAATGATGTATAATCATGTCAGGATCGTTTCGATACTAAGGGGGTCAATTAGTGTTTTCGTAAAAACGTAAAATATATAGTTAAATCAATAATTAATTACAATGAAAAGTAAAATATAAATGTAAATCGAGTTTATAGTGGTTCGGTCATCGCGACCTACGTCCACTCTCAATTCCTCTTTTGTCGAGGCCATCGACGTTCACTAACGATCTTCTTTCAATGGGGAAAGCCTAACTATTCTCTTACAATTCTTTCTTCTGTTTACAAGTTTAGGAAAAAACATTTACAAGTCTAATACCTCCCTTAGACAAAATTCTAAACTTTTGAAGAAAATAAGAGGAACTCTCGAACACTTTTCAAGATTACAACTTTGATTCACTAGCATTTTAGTTCACTCTTTCTTGTGTCTTCCTAGTAGGGATGAGTGAAGTATTTATAGGTCCTAAATGACTTCAAAAATAAAGCCAAAAATTTAAATTTTCGAGTATTCCGGGTATGAGCAGTACCACCGCTGTGCTGGGCGGTACTACCGCTTAGCAAAGCCTCGAAGACGGGGATCCAGCGGTACTACCGCCAACTTGGGCAATACTGTTGCCTGCCAGTATTAATGCTGAAGGTACCATCACTTAGTCCAGACAGTACTATCGCCTAACAGCTTGAAAAAAGTGTGATCTTGACTTTTCCAGCTCATAGGCGGTTACATTGCTTGACTCATTCTTTGGGTCATTAAATGGGCCTCCAAATGAGCTCAAATCAGTCCCAATGGGCCTTCAATTGAGTTAACATTGTTACACTTGAATATAACTCAATTAAGACCTAAAACTACGATGATCATGACTTAAATGATTATAAAACATATAATCTTGTGTTGTCCAACATATTATTAGTTCATTCAAACTCTCGACGCATCATGCTCTCTTTCGGCGTATTGCTCGATCTATCGGCATGTTGACTCTCATAACATTCGATCTTGATGCATGTCCAATTCTTTCGGCCCGATGCCTGATCTTTAACTCTAGCTCAACATCCGATTCCTTTGCTTCAATTGTTTTGCCTTTTCATGATCAAAGCTAGTCCTTTGCATTACTTTTCTTAAAATACAGATTAGATCGTAAACTCATCAATTAATATCATCATCAAAATTCGAGATTCAACACATCAACCATATAGCATTTCATCAGTGGATCAATCAGTGAATTCATTCTCCAATAAGCACTTGCACGATATCCCTAGTGTCTTTATACAAGTAGCTATGAGATCAATCGCCTCCATCATATAGACGGGTATATAGCGTATCAATTTATTCAGTTATCTCAATATATCTCTCAAGTAACCTATGACTGAGATCATTTAGTGTTTGTATTTAAAGGTGAATCAATCTCATTATTATGATCTTATCAGAATCCGATTCTCATTGCACAGATCCATGGACATCACATTATATGTAACGGACAACATAAAATGAGAACAAATTATAATAAATAATTATAAGAAAAAAAATAATGTATAGCGTGTCACACGTGCCATCATAGTGAGTGTTTTGCTAAGAGTGGCTCCACTGGGTACCACCTAAAGGAAATACAAGTGAATTGCAATACTTCACGCTGCTGAATTGTTCTGCAGTTTGTATCACCCTTTGCCCATGTTGATGCATGCAATCTAACAAAACTTTGTCGACCCCGAGTGATATAATATTTACAATACGAAAGGAAGAAAACCATGTCTCAGTCGGGAATTCCAAGCTACCATACCTTTTGCAGGTTGCTGCTACCCAATTTCACATATATTTCTGATTTGTGATGTAAATTTCTTCTAATTTGTGTGGATACACCGGTAGTTGTCTGATCATTAGCTTTATTCATGATAGCCTTACCTTGGTGGGATACCAAGAGATTCATGTTTGTCAACATCTCGTTAGAGGCCCCAAATCTTGGTAACCAGGATAAGGTACATAAAGGTTTTACGAGATCTGAAGCATGAGGAGCTGGAACCTTGCTTGTGCAGAAGTTGGAGTTCATGAGAAACAGAGCGGAATGCTTCAAAGAATGGCATAACTTTCTTCTTCAGAAGTTGCTGATGGAGCTCGAGAATTGAGGGAACAAAATAAAGTGTGGCACGCAGATGGCTTTGAGGTGCTATACGCACATCGAAGGAAGGTATAATGACTCGTGTATTAGACTGGAGTTGGCCAACATGCATCTACTTTGTGAACGAAGGAGCATTCGGTCCTGAAACTAAAGAAAAGCATTGTGCTTTCTCGATCACAAGATTTAGCAAACATAAGCAATTGTCTTTGTTCCATGAAAGATCATTTCTTCATCTGCTGTACTTTATGTCGCCTCTCTTTTCCTGTTCTGAAGCATGGAATTTGATCCCTCTGCTCTGCAAGCTGTTAGGTTTGTCTCAGTGGAAAGCAGATGGAATGCCAATAGCCGTGCGTCAGAAGCTCTCCCATTGTTCAAGTTACCGCATGGAAGCTCCTTGGAGAAGAGACATGTACATGAGGGTCATCTACTCACAAAGCTTCTCCTGTGAACACTGCAATGCATTAGAGTAACATTTCTATACTAATATGTAATGCAAATGCTCGCATCTCCTTTTGCAGCTTAGCTTTTGCTTCCCACATGCAGAGGTTTATTAGTAAGCTATATGAACTTTAATTTTCATGTGAACAACAACACATTTGGTAGCTTTCCAAATGGGCTACAACTCAGTTGAACTATAAAGCTATGGACAAAATGATGAGAGTGATGCAGTTTGATTCAACCATCGATGGAGAACAACTAAGACTTTTGGATTTGATACATCGGCGACAAGTGTGTGTGTTCTTAAAGAGAATTTTGTGTTGTCTGTGGCTCCCATCACTTCCCACCTGCTCTCGTACCTTCAGAAATGCATCATGAGTAATCATCCAAGAATTCTCATACGAATGCGGGGCAACAAGTAGAAGAATCGCTGAAGGTAAATGTGTGCAATCATCATGTCAACATTTACTCGAACGGTCACCTCGGTGTCTCCGGCGATAGAGTGGCGCCTGAAACAAAACTTGCCTTGAGAACAACTCTGTCGTTTGATGACAGACTCCAGACACATCTTGCGAACAGCAAGAGGCGCATGATCGAATGAAGGGACACGGCTCTTCGATCAATCATTCAATCGTCCTACAGATTCCTTTGCCTCAGAAATAGTGGCGTGCAGATTTCTTATGTACCTCGATCGATTTCTTGTCTGCAATCATTTTGTTCTTTTGATTCAAGAAGCATATTCTTCGCTTTGTTGCTTCAGCTCCTCAATGCTCATAGGACAAGTGTGGCAGGTTGTGCACTAATCTCCATTTCTTGAGGACTCTTATTCTGCTTCCAACTTGTGATAACTTGTCCTACAATCACCTGCTTGCGACTTAATTTTATTGCCTTTAGGTGCTGCAAAGGTAAAATAGGTGATAGGGAGGCCACACTCATTGCTGCTTTAAGGACGAAGCTCCAACAGCAAGTGGACAGAGAGGATTCCGTGAAGGACTATAAAGTTGCCTCCATGTTTAGAGTTTGGTGCAACTTGAGGAAAACTTAGGCAAAATCACTAGTAATATGAGCTTTCGGGGTCCGACGATACTGGTGTTTTTGGGTTTCTTGAGTTGTGTTCATGCTGATCTGAAGCTGGGCTTCTATGACGACAGTTGCCCCAAGGCAGAGAAGATGATCCTAGATTTTGTGGAGGAGCACATCCCAAATGCACCAACGGTGGCAGCATCTCTTCTTCGGATGCACTTCCATGATTGCTTTGTGAGGGTACGATGTAATGCATTCGTTTCAACTCAATCTTGCTTTCTTCACGGCATGTTTGATGCAATTCTCAGGGTTGTGATGGCTCTGTGCTCATCAATTCAACCAGCACCAACCAAGCTGAGAAGGCCGCGACTCCGAACCAAACACTCCGCGGGTTCGACTTCATCGATCGCCTGAAGAGCGTGGTGGAGGAAGAATGCCCGGGGATCGTTTCGTGTGCGGACATTCTTGCGTTGGCGACGCGAGACGCGGTCGGAGTCATTGTATGCCGATAAGCTCATACCATGCTCCAAGCTAATGTTCTGAATGCAGACACTCATCTTGTTCGTCTGACGGCAGGGAGGCCCGATTTGGAGAGTTCCGACTGGCCGTCGCGACGGGTTGATATCGAATTTAACGGAAGCATTATCTGAGATTCCAGCCCCCACATCGAACCTTAGCTCTCTGCAGACTTCTTTTGCTAATAAAGGGCTAAATGCTGCAGACCTTGTTCTGCTCTCTGGTGAGCTGCAGCATAGCAAACACATGACGATCTAAGTTCTTGCCGACTTGTGTCTTGCAGATTCGTCATTTTACACGAAAAATGACGTTTTTCTTGCGCTTCTTCGTCTGCTAACATCGACCGATTTGCTGTTGCAGGAGCCCACACGATCGGAGTTGCTCATTGCGAATCCTTCAGCGACCGGCTGTACAACTTCACCGGGAACGGCGATCAAGATCCTTCTCTGGACGGCTTCTACGCCACGAATCTGAAGAAGAACAAGTGCAGAGACGCCACCGACGAGACCACGCTCGTGGAAATGGATCCTGGGAGTTTCAGAACGTTCGATGTTGGATACTACAGGAATCTGCTGAAGCGAAGAGGGCTCTTCGAATCCGACGCAGCTCTGACCACGGACGCCGCGGCCAAGGCAGCCATCGTCGATCTCGTCGACAGCCCTCCGCAGACATTCTTCGCCGGGTTCGCGATGTCCATGGAGAAGATGGGCAGCATCGGAGTCAAGACGGGCTCTTCAGGTGAAATCAGAAGGAACTGTGCGGTCATAAACAGCTGAGATTGGTGTTCTCGAGCAATTTATGCTGTGGGATCTCAAAAATAAATGAACTGTTGCAGTGTGTTGTTCTTTGGGGATCTAAGTATTCGATCTAACAAGCATTAACAGGATCTTTCCTTTGTTCTTATCATCCTCAATCGTCCTTTCTGGCTGATGAGAAACAGGTGGTGTCCTTGCATTTTGATGGCCTTCCTTTTGATCCAAATGAATCAGGATCATGTTCTTCGAGAGACCAATTTCATTTTGATGGCCTTCCAACTTGTTCTCATCTCACTATATCAACAGTAAATTGCTAAGGGTGATTAGATAAAAATGTATACAATTGTATACATATGACCAGTTGAAATATGTTCATTGTTATGATTCAACCAAGTCCAATTAACAAATCACAATTCAATGAGAGAATGATCAAAGTAATCAGTCCATCATATCTCAAAGTGTAACCCTTTCTTAAATAATAGCTAATAACTAAAAACTAAATCAAATGAAAAAAAAATCAAGATGAAAAAGAGAAACTTTACTGAACTTACCAAGAAGAGAAATATTTATATATCTTGTATGACTTGACTTTAGCCTTATTAGCTTGAATACTTGAGACTTCGTAGATACCCCCTATTTATAGATATGAAATGCAAGAGTTCCTAATCTCTTCAACTATATCTAATCTTATTTAAAAGATAAAATATCAATTTGAAATCTATCAAAATATATTTTTAACTTTTTAAACTAAGAATTTATTATCCTTCTAACTCTATCTAATCTTATTAAAAAAGTAAAATATTAACTTATAATTTTTTAAAATATACTTTAACTTTTTAACATTTCTCCTTGGAGTATACTCTTGGAGATAAGTCTCGGCTTCTTTGCAAAGTCACGCTCATAACCACCACCAAGCATAGAATCACCTGTAGAAATATGACTTCGACCAAAGTATTCTTTAAGGTGCATGTGAATGTTACCATCCATATGCTTTCTTATACTATTCGAAAATCTACCTGAATCAAGTTGCTTCGTTCGGAAACGAATACCTCTTGACCCAAAGCTTGATCCAAACTTACTAGATAAAATATCATTGAAATCTCTAACTAGACTTCGTGTAGAAGGCTCAACATCCATATGACGATCAAATTTAAGAATAGAGTTGTGCAAATTAGAGATTATCACGATGCCTTCCTTTTTAACTTGGTGAATAGTATTATCTATCATGATAATTGTATCATTATCTTTATATTGACGGATATTAGTGAATTTGATATTAAGATGATGACCACATTCTAAATCAACAATCCAATCATTTTCAAAGTTGATAGATGTCATTACCTCAATAATTTTTATTATAAAGCATTTGCCCTAATCTTCGTTAGTAGCATTATAAAAATATTCTTCATTTACAATATTTTCTTCTTTAATCTTCACGTGATATTCTCAAAAGCAATGTGTATTGACTTTTCAATAAAATATAAATATCAATTTTCTCAAAAGCGATCCGTAAATGAAACCATAGGTAGACTGGGAACAACAAGAGAGAGGCCAATTAGACAAAATACACATTGTTCACTTGGGTTGATACAATAATACCACTGAACACAACGATAGCCACAAGTAATTATTGAAATGACAAAACAAACAACGCACAGACACGAGAGACATTTCACGAACGCTTATTCCACTTTCTGGACGGACTTGCATGCATGCCAACGACAGACGGAACGACGATGACACCAAAGCATCGGACACAAACAAGCCAAACGGCTTAGCGACCACCGCGGAGGCGGAGCACCAGGTGAAGGGTGGATTCCTTCTGAATGTTGTAATCTGCCAGGGTGCGGCCGTCCTCTAGCTGCTTCCCAGCGAAGATGAGCCTCTGCTGATCCGGTGGAATCCCCTCCTTGTCCTGGATCTTCGCCTTGACGTTGTCGATCGTGTCCGAGCTCTCCACCTCCAAGGTAATGGTCTTCCCGGTGAGGGTCTTAACAAAGATCTGCATGCCTCCCCTAAGCCTCAGCACGAGGTGAA